GGCTCACTGCAACCTCCGATTCCCGGGTTCAAGCGATTCTCCTGCGTCAGCCTCCCAAGTAGCTGGGACTAGAGGTGCCAGCCACCAAGCCCAGCTAATTTTTGTATTTTTAGTAGAGACAGGGTTTTACTATGTTGGCCAGGCTGGTCTGAAACTCCTGACCTCGTGATCCACCTGCCTCGGCCGCCCAAAGTGCTGAGACTACAGGCGTGGGCCACCACGCCCAGCCAAGACCACTTTCTGTACCCAGTCCTGGTGCCTCTATCCAGACCTCCTGTTCTCTCTCCCTTCCTCTTTCATTGGTTACACTTCTTTATTTTCCCACATCCAGATCCCATGATGGGAGCTGCAGAAGGCCCCTTTGGGAAGACTGAGCAGGTTGACTCCTGAGGCCAGCAAAAGTGGGGTGCAGAGAAGGTATCTGATCAAATCCAGTGCCCTCTCAGTGCCCCCTCACTCTGTCTGTCACTTCCCTAGAGCCAGGATCCTTGAGGTGCCCAGTCTGCTTGTCTATGAAAGACTGTCCGGAGGGGACAACAGAAGAGATGTGCCCCAAGGGGACCACGCACTGTTATAATGGCCTCCTCAGGCTCAGGGGAGGTAAGCCTGGGACATCGGGATCCCTGAGGGGACTGAACGGGAAGTTCTGGGGACTGAGATCTTAGTCTCTGGGGAGTGAGGGTGAGCTGAGGCGAGGCATGAGACCCAGAGGAGGGTGGGCCTGGCTTCCTGGAGCTATGCCTGCCTCTGAGGGTTGAGTGGTCCTCAGGCAGCATCACTGACTCTCCCTCGCTCCCGCTTTCTGCAGGAGGCATCTTCTCCAATCTGAGAGTCCAGGGATGCTTGCCCCAGCCAGGTTGCAACCTGCTCAATGGGACACAGGAAATTGGGCCCGTGGGGATGACTGAGAACTGCAATACGAAAGGTGAGTCCCGCCCCTAGGCTGTGCCCTACACTGCAGCCTCGGGCACGATGACACATGGGGCATCCAGAGCCATCACACCAAAGCCAGTAGGAGGAAGGTCAAGGGTGCAGGGTGGGCTGCTTGGCATGAGACTTTAGGCAACAGTGAGTGCTGGGGCCCCTGCTGGCTCTCATGCTGCTGAGAGTGACTGGTTGCTTCAATTTCTCTGTCTCCACACCCCTGGCCTTGCATAACCCTAGGTCTCCCATTTCCCTAGGCCACCGTAGCCTCTCTGCCACCCTCACCAGCCCCTGTCCTGCCCATGGTGCTGGAGTGCCCCATCAGCCCTGCCTGCACAGGAGAGAACATCAGAGAGAAAATCAAGGGCACTTCAGGTGTGACAGAGAAAGCAAGAGTTAAAGAGGACACTGAGAGGGTCCCCCCTTCCCCATTTAGGTACTGCCATGGAAGAGAGTGCCAGGGAATGTCTCCATAAGAAGGGCTCCAAGGCAATGGGAAGCCATGCTGAGGAGGCCGGGGTCTTATATGGATCCCAGCTTCCCTCCTAGGAGCAAAGTCTTTCCCTACCCGTGCCTCTGTTTCCTTGTCTGCCCCCATCAAGCTACCCCTTAGAGTTTAGAAGAGGGAGTTGTGTGAGTTCTGCACACCTTCCTCTGTGTATTTGGCTGTTTCTCCCTGGCTAGGCTGGGAGCCCGAGGCCAGGGACTTGGTATCACTGGCACCAGGGTTTTCCAGCCTTGGGTAGCTCAGGAGCCGGCTCAGGAAGGGTACCAGGAGGTGTTTGCTCAAGTGAAGACGTGCAAAGCCCCCTAATGAGTCAGACCCTGTTTCTACCTGAAGGGCCTCCAGGACTAGGAGGGGCAGGTGCCACAGACACAGATAGTCACAGCTTGAGGTGATCAGGGCTGTTGCAAATGGGGATGTGGGGCCTGGGGCAGCTCAGAGGAGGAAGATACTGATGTTGTTGGGGTAGAGAGTAAGGAGGGCTTTACAGAGGAGGTGGCCTGTGAACTGTGTGTTAAAGATGACCTACAGCTTATTGGTAGAAGAGGAAGAGGACATTGGTGGCAGAGGGAACAGTGTGTAGTAGCTGCATAGGCCTAGAGGTGGGAGTGAGCCTGCAGTTTTCAAGAAGAGTCCATCACTCCACCTGAGAAGGACTCATCAAGATGAGGGGGTACAGCTGGGATTGGGGGTGATTAGAAGTTTTCCAGGTGGACAAGGTGGGTGTGGGATCGAGGAGGGAGCTGCTCCAAGCCAAAGGCACAGCAGATGTGAGGCTGAGGAGGAAATGACTTGGCATGCCTTTGGAATGGATACTGGTGAGGGAAGGAGAGGTAAGTGGGAACCTGGTGGTCGCTCAAATACCTGAAAAGCCAGACTCAGGGGTGGACGGTCTCCTGAAGGCAGGGGAGCCATTTAAGATTGTGGCGCAGGGAAGGTCAGGGTCTGAGCCATTTATCTTTCCTTTTGACTGATGCTGGTGTTAAGGGTCTGGCCCTGGTCTCTGGGACCAGGTGACACTGATAATCCAGAAGGCATTTCAGAAACAAATCAGATGCAACATATGCCACACACAGCCCACAATAAGCACAGGAGACACCAAAGCATCACACCATGCCACATACACACCACACATCACATACCACACACACTCCCCCATACCCCTGACATACCACATATGAAACACAAATCACACACAGAGCGTACAATATGCACAACACACACAAATGCATCACAGAATTGCACAATTACTATGTGTACATGTAGTGTGTATGTGGCATCCACACTACATGTCAGGTACCACACACACTCCCTCTCAACATATTGGACATGCAACACAGACCACACACAACACACAATACACACAACACACCTGGTATGTCACGCACACCACATGCAAACAAAACACAGATACACAGAACACACACCACACCAAACACACAAAACACATACCACATACATCACACACAGTATGTCTATACATGCATGCATCACACAAACATACCATGAACACACCACACACCCCATACAACCACACCCACACACATGTACTACACACTTACACATACCAGACACCCCTGCACACATCATGCATGCACCCCCACACCTTATGCACACACACTACACAAACACACACCACATGCAAACAAAACACCGATACACAGAACACACACCATGCCAAACACACAAAAACACATACCTCATACATCACACATAGTATGTCTGCACATGCATGCACCACACAAAAATACCATCAACACACCACACACCCCATACAACCACACCCCTCACATGTATACTACACACTCACACACAGCACACACATCTGCAGACATCACGCATGCACCCTCACACCCTGTGTGCACACACTACACAAACACACACACACCACATAAAACACAGCTATTACGTACAAATCGGTGCTGTTAATACAGATTCATATTCTTTCAACACTGGAGCCAGATCTTGGAGGCTGTTTTGCCTTCCCTGGTGAAGTGCAGTTCAGCAGCTTAGCAGACAGTGAGCATCACAAGATCAGGCATCAGAAACTGGGGGAACAACAAGATGTTGGGGACCAAGTGTGGGAGAGAAGAGGCTGCAGGGTGATAGAACCGCTTATAAGAAGCCACAGCAGTGGGAGGGCTGGGTGCAAGGACACAGGTTACTAAAAGGGGCCATGGCAGCAGCCCCTTGTGAAGAACCAAGAAGCCCTGGGCAGATAAGGCCCTGGCTGCTCCTAGAGGAGCTGGGCAGCGGTCCCAGTGAGAGAGCAGGGAAGAGCCCGCGTCTGAATCAGGGACACGTGGGTCCCAGGCCCTGCTCTGCCGCTGAAACAGCTTTCCAGCCTCAGCTTCACATGAGGATCAGAAGTCTCCATAGCTCATGGAACGTCTTTCCCTGGATGTGGGGAAGAGGAGGGGATGGTTGCAGACAGGGGGCGGAAGCAGATGCAAAGGCCTTGAGGTGGGTGAGTGCCTGCCAGAAGCACCTGTGCAGAGCAGAGTGATGGAGGGAGCGGAGTAGGACACCTGCATGGAGCGGGGAGGTGGCCGCATCTTATCAGGCCTCCCGGGCCATTGGAAGGGCTTAGAATTTTATTCTCCAGAATGGGGAACTCCTGGAGTCTTCGGAGCAGAGGAGTGACATGAACTGACTTAGGTTTACCCAGCCTCCCTCTGCCTGGTGGGCGGAGAATGCAGCAAGGGGAAGAGGGGCAGGCAGGCACAGGGAAAGCCCCGGGAGTCAGGTGGGAGCCAAGGGGGGTTGGCCTGGGTGGAAGCAGCAGAGGTGGTGACGTGAGGTTGGGTTTTGAAGATTTTTTGCAGCTCAAGCCAGTAGAATTTCTTGAGGAACACAACGTGGGAGAGAAAGGGAGTGGTCAAGGACACCACCAACCTTTTCAGCTAGGCCGGCAGAGAAGAGCCACCACAGGTATAAGTAGGGGAGATGGGAGTGGGGAGAGAAGGGTGGGCGAAGAGAGCAGGAGCCATGATTTTGATTTTGTCATCTGTGAAGCATGCAAATGAGCAGCCCTCCGGGGTGGCATCCGTTCTGCAGGTCGCGTGTGTTGGTGGAAGCTGGGGGCTCAGTCTAAGAGTCCCCGCATCATGGGACAGATGCCCCCTGCTCTGTCATGGCCATGAGGGAAGGCCGGGGGCTGTGGTTTCACACTAGAGCCTTGAGGGCCAAGGTAGCCGAGGATGGTCATCAGTACCTGTCTCTGTCCTGCCCTCAACCCCGACCCTGAGGGTCCAGAGTCCCTGGGTTCCCAGCCTACCTCTGCTGCTCACAAGCTGTGTGGCACAGGCGGCTACTGAGCAATCCTGCCTGTTTCCCTTGTTGCAAATGAGGGTGCTGATTGTGATCGCCCCACCTACTGTTGGGGTGCTGTGGGGAAACGAGGCATCCCAGATAAGCTGAGCTCCCTGGGACCTTAGATAGGTGGATCTGTGGGAAGCAGTGACGTCAGCTAGGTGCAGAGGCAGTGCTCAGCGGCAGTGCTCAGCCCACCCTGGCCCTCCGCATCTTTTGTTTGGAACATAGGGCTTTGCAACTGAAAGGTATGAGAAAGGTCTCAGGCTGTCTTCCTTATTATTGAAATGAGGACCTTAAAGTTCAGACGGGGAAGGAGAGATGGGCAGAGGATAAGGAAGAGCTTCCATTGCTCTCACAGCTGAAGCAAGGAACGACCATTCCCACAGGGCTGTGAGAGGATGTCCCTGCAGATGTTCAAGTAGAAACAGGGGGAACAATGAGGGCGGGGTTTGGACTCCCAAGTCCTTTCTGAATCCGTGGTTGAGGGACTCCGTGGCCTGGTCACCTGGAGGGACAGACATGGTCGGTTCCTGGCTTACACAGACCCTGGGTTTCCTCTCCCCAGATTTTCTGACCTGCCATCGGGGGAACTCTTTGCAGAAGGATGATAACTTGGCTCAAGTACCCATTGAATGGACCATGTCTAATACCGTGATGTGCGAGGCGGGCCAGGTGTGTCAGGAGACGCTGCTCCTCATAGATGTAGGTGCGTGGACTGAGGTAGAAGACAAACACTTGTCCCAGGTCCCTGGCAGCTCCCTCCACCCCACTGGATTCTTTCCCCTGAATTTCCTGCTCCGTTTCCTCCACATCTGCAATTTTCAATTCAACTATTCTTCTCTCTGGATCTTAGGTTCCCCTTATGAAAACTGGGGGTGAAGCAGTGAGAATGACGGTGTCTGCCTTTCTGGGTGGGGTGACGATGTATGCGGTAATCCCTGCCCAGGGCGGAGAACTGTGCCAACACTGAGGAATCTCACTGGCTTCATACAGTCTGGAAATGTTTATCCAGCATTTGTCTTAGGCGCTGCAGATCCAATCCCATCTGTATTCCTGCAGCTTTATATACCTTGAGAAACAGGAAACAAACAAAAAGCAGCAAAGTATAGGGATGGAGATCCCAACTCTGGAGAGAAATCTGGCAAGGAAAAGGAGATAGGAAAAGTGAGGTGAAGGCTACAACATTAAGCTGAGTGTTCAGGGGAGACTCATGGAGAAGGTGACGTTTGAGTGAGAACTGGGAGGAGGCAGAGCTTCGGGGAGGACCCAGGCCCTGGCCTCCGTCTTTGCCCCATGCTAAACATGACCCATGCAGTTGTGATCAGGGCATTCACCCTCTGCCTGAGGGGTATTGTGGAGGGCAGGGAGTCCAGTTCTGGAGCCCCTGTTGCCCTGGGAGCTGTCCAGTCCCCCAGCCCAGCTTTCCCTCTCACCCTTAGGACACACATCGACCCTGGTGTGGAGCAAAGGCTGCAGCGCTGTTGGGACGCAAAATTCCCAGAAGACCTCCATCCACTCAGCCCCTCCTGGGGTGCTTGTGGCCTCCTATGCCCACTTCTGCTCCTCAGACCTGTGCAATAGTGCTAGCAGCAGCAGCGTCCTGCTGAACTCCCTCCCTCCTCAAGGTATGGGATCCAGGGCCATGGAGAAATGAGGCCCAGACACACAGACACTCTGGTCCAAGGTGGGCGGCTGCTGTGAGCACAAAGTCACGTACCCCCACCTTCTCTCTGCTCCCCAGGTGCCCCAGAGCCAGGAGACCAGCAGTGTCTTACCTGTGTGCAGCCCTTGGGAACCTGCTCAAGTGACTCCCCAGTAAAGACCTGCCCCAGGGGCACCACTCATTGTTATGATGGGTACATTAGTCTCTCAGGAGGTGAGTGCTGCAAGCAGGGCCCCAAGGATGAAGGTGCTGGTGTCCTGGGCTCTTGGGACTGCGGGAGGAGGAAGCTGGGGCTCTGGGCTCTTGGGTTTCAGGGAGGAGGGGCTGGGCCTGGACTCCTGGTCTGAGGGAGGAGG